AGATCATAAGAATCTGTATAAAAAACACTTACCTGCTAGCAAATGATTCATCAGAGATCTAGTAGACCTAGTCCACCTAGCCTGCTAGTAAAGTTGCATTGTAAACACGCGTACTTGTAAGTTGTAACGTTATTATTAGGCCTATACATACGATTGTTAACAACCGGTTCGTGGAGGTCATTAAATTCTAAGAACAGGTTTGCACGAACCGGTGCGAACTGGCTGAATCCCACCACTGCATATATATTATTCATACCTTTGGTGTATAGGATGCAAGCAGATTTTGACATCAAATTTTGGGGTAAAAAAGTGTGTCTTATACACCAAAAAATATGGTAAGTTTTGTATTAAAATGTGGAACAGATTTCGTTTATAGTTTTTGTGTTCAACTAAGGTTAATTAATACTGTAGCAAACTCTTGAACAGGTGTAATGCTTTTTTAGAATGTTCTTATGCATTAGAAATGTTGTGTTCTCTAATATTTTTCATCTATTGAATGTTAATTTGTTTTTGAGAAATGGTATCGAGATGTTCATCTACACAATAGTAAGTTTTTCATAAATATAGAGAATTGTGCCCTAAAATGCCAGTAAAATAGAATAATGAATAGGTGGTTACAAAAAAAACCTTCTACATTGTATATATAAAGGCTAAATCTACCCTCAGAATTTATTTTATAATCATCTGATTTTTTGTTTTGAAAGCAAAAAAAAATCAGAATGTTTTGATGAACATTAAGTTAAACTCAGATACAAAAACAAACATAGTACATTTGTAATTTCTTATTTCTGATATTTTATTTTTATAAAATATTTCTTTTAGTCTAGGTTTTAACTTTCTTTAATGGCATAGGAGAGGAGGGGGTGGGATTCTCAACTGTCTTTTTAGGTCTATTGAGAAATTGGCTTTGGGAACAAAGGAGAAAATGTCCAAAATTGCTTGACTGGTCCCAGAAACTGTTTGTGCCCAAACAAACAGGAACACACAACAGCACATGTATATTTGTTGATATAAGCCTAGTTATTGTGAACTTATCATGACATTCTTGGTCTTTGGTACAGTTGCATGAGTTTGTGTTGATGTGATTCATCTGACATTATCATAAGACTGAAATAACCTGCGTTTGTGGTCTTGGTTGTTAATCATGCCAGCATTCTGAGTCTATTTTTTTTCTGGCCATTTTCATAAGACTGAAATAACCTGCATTTATGGTCTTGGTTGTTAATCATGCCAGCATTCTGAGTCTATTTTTTTTTCTGGCCATCAAAACCTTATGCATGATATTAAGTGGTTGGTATTTAAAGCTTGTATACTGATATGTTAGTGTTGTTGCTTGCAATACGTATATAGTACATTTTTTTAAACATAATAAGTGCTTGAAAGTTTCTTTATACTATTAGAAGCTGCATGTTTTCAATATTTCAAGAATTATTGTTGTAATTATAAATACAGGAGTTCTGTTCAGTAACAGTTGTTTAATGAGCTATAGAAGTCCTGTGTATAGATCTCTTTGATTGGCAAAAGATTTGGGTCTTTTGGGTCTATCTTTGCCATCAAAGCAACTTTGAAATAACAATTATAGTGTTATTGTTGAAAGTTTTTTTTTCTGATAATCTTGATCAGTGAGTATCACAATAAAAAGTTTGCAAGGACCAAAGTGGAGTGTTTGGTTTGGTTACAAGTTTGACAACAACAAAGAAAAGACATGAAAAAAAGTATCATGTAGATGTCCTAGAGCAAGGTGGTTGTATATGTATCCAAACAGATGGGGCACCAGCATTTTCCTTTTCAGCAACAATAGAAGCTGTCAAAAACTAAAGAATCAGTGCAAGACTCAGAAGAACTAGATACAAAACAGAAAGAAAACCTCAATTCCAACACATTGTGCTTGAACTTTGAAAAAATTATTCTCATATGAGATCAGGAGGATAATCATATCTTTATTATATCAAATTATTTATTACACCAGAGATCAACATCACATGAGGTTTGTTGAATGTAACCAAAAAATATTGAAGAGGTTCAGAGTGAGTTAGAGTTGGTCAATTTGAAACAAGTAATTGGTTGATGATGGCACCCAAACCACAGTTGTTTTTTCTGAAAAAAAAGTAGAGTATGTTTATTCTTCTGCTGGCAGCACATGCAGTTTTAGTGGTTCCACTATTACAATATTGCCGGAGTCTAAGAATCAAATTCCAGAAACAGTGCTAGATGGTCAACACAGTGCTAAAGAAACTGCTGATAATGTATTTGAACCCAATTGAAAATATCCACCAGATTCATTTCATTTTGTTGGAAAAGAAATGTCATACAAGTCCAGAAGTCTGTTTTTTCTGTATGGTCTTTGCCAATCAAATGAAGTTATGTTGGATCAGGTATTTCAGAAGTGCAAATGCAGGGTAAGGCTAGAGCTCCTGTGAGGAAAGTTGTTATCCCACTTATGAAATATTCATTCTGTGTTCTGTCACACTTGTCTCCTGTTTGGAAATGCTTTACAAGAAGAGAATTCTCATACTGGAAGGACAGGAAACAATCACTAGAAGAGCAATAACAGTCAAACACTCACCTGGGCACTGTCATTGTCACAGCTAATTATGTTATTCAAGAGCCTATAAATAGTGCCGGATTAACCTACCACAAAAAGAGAACGTTTGGCATGGGACTTCACGAGTACATTGTCTGAAATAAGGGATGTTTGTCTTATTATTCTATTGATTGATTTTATTGATAATTGATAATGCAAGCTATCTATGATAATATAATCGATAAGATACCGAGTTTTTACGTTAAGTAGATAATTATCGAGTTTTATTTTTAATAATATTTGATAATTGTTTTTAGCATTTTTTATTTTTAAGATTTAAGCAGAATTTTTGCACAAATCAATTTTTTAATTGCACATTCCTTTATAAATTCACTACATTATACATATTTTATTATCCTTCGCTCTGGTTATTAGGTTGATATATTATAGATGATTATGTCAGTGTGTATATTCTTCAAATCTCTCTAATCAACAGAGACTAAATTAAGAAATCAACAAATATTTTTTCAATTTTGTAGTTTATACATTACCATTTTTATACTTTCAATACATAGAATGAAAACAATATTAGGTTATACTTTTGCTGCTAAGCAACATGACATAAAAGCCATTGTTGGAACACATTGTTACCAAAATGCACTGTCTTTTCTATATATTAGAAGCTATTATATAAGGAACCACTTATTTTCTATGTGGTTCTTTGCTAGCTTGCTTCATTAAAAAGATGCAAATGTAGATAAGATAAGTAATAATACCTAGGTGCACACCCTCAAGGTCCAATTAGTATGGGTGCAAAATTTCAGGTTTCTAGGTGCTTTCCTCTTAGAGCTATGGCAGTCACATATTATTTTCTATATGTTTTTTCACTAGTTTTCCTCATTAAACAGATGTGCATGCACGCATGCTAAATAAGTAATAATACCCAGATGCTCACTGCACACCAGTGTCTGTCTCAATGTGATTTATATCTGTAATATAAGGAACCACTTCTTTTCTATGTGATTTTTCACTAGCTTGCCTCATTAAAAAGATGCGCGAATGTATATTGATAAGTAATACACAGGTTCACAACATCAGGGTCCACCTAGTATGGGTGAAAAATTTCAGGTATCTTAATTTTTTCCCCTTGGAGCTATGGCAGACACACTTCTTTTCTATGTGGTTTTTTGCTAGCTTGCCTCATTAAAAAGATGCACATGCGAACAAGATAAGTAATTTTGTATTCCAAAACAGGCTTATTTCAAATATTGCTGAAAAAATACACATGCAGTCAGTCAATCATATAATAGTGCTGAATTCATCTCAGGACAATATACCAGTTTCAGAGCATTTGTGGAAAAGGAAATTCCGATACGATAT